TAATAGTAATGATTGTAATGCATTTATTAATTATTCGTTATAGATATAATATGAGTAAAAATAAATGATTTATAATTTTACATGATGTGTTTTTTATTAACTATAATAATTTAAGAAAAATTATTTTAAAAATATTAGCTTCTTTAAATTAAGATTTTAAGTTTAATCACACAGTGCAATCCAGCAAAGTTCATTTAAATATATTAAATGATTTTTAAAAATTAAAATATTTTTGATTGAATCAAACATAAATAATTGATGAATGAAAATAAACGTGATCTATTTATTTGTGGTTGAAACAAAAAATTTAATTAAATTACCACTTAAAATAAGAACAAAAATTAATCATTTAATCAAATATTTTTTATATTTAAATATAATTTAATATAAATACATAAATAATTATAAGTAGATTAGCTTAATCACACAAGTCTGCCACATAAGTATCATTTTTAATTTTTATTCAAATTATTTTAATCTCGTCATTTAAAAATAAAATAATCAAATAAAAATTATCTTTTATAAAAATCGAGATGAATATACCTATTTATTATTTTTTGTCAATTTGCTGAAGAGTTTTGAATTGGTTTTGATTCTTCAATTTTTTATAATTATTTTTCAATTTATATAATTTTATACAATTTATTTTCCAAATTTTAATTATATATTTAAATATTTTTTATAAATTACCTATTTAATTTAGAATGTATTATAAAATACTAAATAAACTTATGTATGTAATTAGAATCTACGATAATTCTATCCTGTATTAAAAATGAATAAAAATATAGTTAAAGGAGTTTTCCAATTAAAAATTATAGAAGACTTTGAAAATTAATAAAACAAAATATAGAAATATCTAATAATAAAGCAAATAAAAATAGATAAATAAATACTTTTGAAATTAAATATTTATGGAAAAAATGATAAAAAATGGTCTTAATTTGAAAGCCTACGTTCTACATCCCGCCCACTGTCTATAAAAAATAATATTTTCCCTCCAAAATGTGTCAGTTTTCTCTAAAAATTGTAAAATTTTGTAAATAATAAAAATATCTAAAAATATTTCTTTTTTCATTATTTGGAAAAAAATGTATTTAAAAAGTAAAAAAAATTTAAAAGAAGTTTAATTACCTAATTTTGAGAATATTTATAGAAAGAAATTTTTTTATTATTTGGATGAAATTATTAAATATGTATGTAAATTTATTAAATTTTAAATTTGTTGTTAATTTTTTCAATCTGAATATTCTTATAACAAAAAATGTTGTCGCATTAGGTACACATAAGTCTGCATATTTTCAAAAAAAATATTAATTTGATTGGAAACATTTTTGCTTCTGTGTTCAACAAATTAAAAAATTATGATTTATTAAAGTTTACAAAAATTCCATAAATATTTTTGATAAAGAAGGATAAATATTTTTAAATTTAATTATAATAATTTTAAGTAATCCTTTATTAAAAACATTTATAAGATTAAATATAGAATTTTAAATATTTATTCATTATTGACAAGTGAGTGACAATAATAGCTTTTATTAAACAAAAATTCTTTATTAAAAATTTTTAAATAATTTTGAAATTTTATTCCAGAATCGAGTTGAAGGAATTATGACAACATAATATTATAGATATTATAAATATTTAATTGTTAAATAATAAAATTTCGCACAATTTAATTATTATTTATCTCGAACTTTTTAAGATAATAATATATAGTTTTTGGGTAAGGGGCCCTAGAACATTTGCAAGATTTATCATAAGAAAATTGATAAAATATTTAGTTGCAAACTTGAATATTGTAAATAAATTTAAAATTTCTAAACAAAAATAGTTTAAAATATATTAAAGAGATGTCCAATAGTTATTCGTTTACAATTATTATTAGTTATTGAACTACTAAATATTATACATATATAATTTTACGTCATTAGAAGTCATAAAACTATAACTAATCGAATAATACATAAAATTATTATATTTGTATTTTGATCAATGGAACAATTACAATGGAACAAGGACTTTAAATCATTTTTTATTTATTTTGTCAATCAAAAAATAATTTTATATTACCATTTTCAATTATGGTATTTTGTCAAATTTATTAAATTGGCATTTTGTCAAATTTTTCTTCAGACTTGGGAATAGACTCTATTAATAATAGACAAAGGAAAATTAATAAGGAGAAAATCGAAGATTTTAAAAGATTGATTAATAAAAAATCCTTCATATGAATAGAGAAAGAGAGAAGTATGAGAAGGATCCTCCTGTCAATTACTCGTCTCTCAGAGCGACACTCAGAGCAAATTATATTAAATATTAATTTTTTAATTGTTAAAGAATTTTTAAATTATAATTAAATTAACATTGGGTAGGTTTCTCAACAACTAACTAGGAAAATGCAAATGTTTTATAAGCATTTTAACTGAAAAAAATTTTGATAGGTATTTTATAGGAATTTTTAATCTAAAATTTTTCAGAGCACATTAAAACTATGAAGATAGTTGGACAAAATCTGTCCATAATTTTCATTTATTTGAGTGTATTAATTTTGTTAGCTTCAAGTTTGGTGGATCCTTTAGAAAAGGAATCGAAAAAATCGGTTAGTTTTGCTGAAACTGTCGGTAAAACGTTAGAAATTGACGGCAAACAAAAGGTTGGCAACAAAAACAATGCAAATGTTAATCCTATATTGAAAGTAAAAACAAAACATGATGAAATTGAAATACCAAGCGACGACGGTAAAATATCTTTCTTTATAAAATTATTATCGACACAGATTATTTTAATTCAATACCGATTATCTAATTTTAACAAATTCAGAATTTAATGAATTAAATGAAGAAGCTAAGAAAATTAATAAGAGCAAGGAATTTTCAAGACTTGCTCTTACTTTTTTATCAATATTAAATAGTGAAAAGATGAAAATGTTGTCTACTATTTTAAAAAATATTCGCAAATTATATATGGATAAAAAATTAGATATAAATATATTAAAGCTTATTTCGAATGATGAACATTTTAAAATTCTGAAAGATACTCTTTTTGATGAAAGTGTTAAAATTAAAAAGAAAAATTTACATAAATTGCGATATACAAAATTTGAGGTTAAAATTTAAAATTTATTTTAGTGTTTTGGAAAATATCTGTGTAACTTGATTGACATTAAATTAATTTAGAAGTCCTAAAAATATTTACCAAAAAATATTTGTTCTTTAAAATAATTTTCATTTTTTAGAAATTGGATGAATATCTTGTTTCTCTAGAACAATTTAAGTTCAAAACAATTCTGGAAAAATTAGAAATGTGTAGCTCCAAAAGTAAAGTATCGGAAATTCTTGGCAATAATCAAAAATTAGTTGAATATATAGAAAAACAATGCAATGAATTGATAGAATATTTAGAAGCATTTGATATTGTATATTCAACTGAGAAAAAAGAAAAAGATATTAAGAATGAAATCAAAAGTTTTTTCAAAATATGGAAAAAGCAGATAAAAAAAGAGGAAAATCGTGAAAAGGAAATGAAGAAATTGAAACCAAAACGTAAAATGACAGAACTTGAACGGATATTGAGTCAATTATAGTTTAGTTGTGCGAATGTTCTTTAACGATAAGAGCTTAAGGAAATAATGGCACTTCAATGTACGAACAGTTACCCTACTGATTTCGGGACCCACGGCCAGTTGGTCTTGGATAGTATATTGTCTTATTAAGGAATAGAGTTTTTATGTTTTAGAACAAACGTAAACACGCAAGAAATTATTTTTGTCACCCCAATCCCGATATGTCCGCACACCGAAATAATATTTATTTACCTAAATTATTTTTTACTAAAAGTCTTTGAAATTCTTCGAAAATACTTTTATTTATTTAAGTTTAAACAAAAAAAAAGTAAAACAAATTTTTTGCACAACTAAACTACGATTGTCTCAAAAACTTTGAGTAAAATGCGTGAAAAGAAAAGATGAAAGAATGGAGATGAGATTCATCTAATTGAGATTCATATTTACATTCCCAAATTGTTTTGAGCATTAATTAAATTTTATTTAAAAATCATTGAACTAAATTTGTAACCGAGTAAATTTGTAAAATCTTTTCATTTCTTTATCAAGCATAAAAGTTAAAAGTCACTCAACTTCAATTTATGCAATTATTAAAAAATAAATAAAAACACAAATTTTTGGAAAAAATACCAGAATCGAAAATTTTTGGATACTTGCCTTATGAAATTTATAAAAGAAAATTTTTTCAATACGGAATTGGAGAGATATTAGATTTCGCGTAGTCCTACCGAAATGAGAAAATCACACTCCCACTAAAGCAGACTAACATCCACTCATTTGTCAGAGCCACATGTAAGAGTTGAAGTTTTAATATTTTAAATTAAATCAGTTGAGATCATCCCGTATGGATTCCAACTTGTCGAGATACAGAAAAAAGCACTAATAAAAACTTAAAATCGATACAAATATTATTAAGAAACTTGTTCAAATGTTTAATTTTTATTTTTTAAATAAACATATCAAAATTTAAATCACACGACTAAAGCAATTTTACACGTTATAACAAAAAATAAATAGCATGTATTGACAAATTTATTGTCGTATTTTTTGTTTGTGAGCTGGCCATTCTACCGCGAGTTCAGTCTACCGCTGAACATAACTAAACGTAAAAATATTAAATCATGTTAGTTTTGGTACCATAAAAAGCTACTCAGCGAGTTACTTCTAATCATACCAAAATTAACTCGGTCCGAATTTCTTAACCCTAATTATAAGTTTTGCAATTAACTGGGCTGCATCAGGGTGTACCCCCTTTTTATTCTACAGCCAACACTTTGTTTAAGCTTTTCAATTGTTTCCATAATTTTTTATAATGATGTGTTAAACATACTCATTTTAAATAATAAATACATAAAAATAATTTTCATTGTGTGTATTTATCGAAAACTAGAGGAAATTAAATTTCCTTGTAAGACAAAATTCTTTAATTAAATTTAATGAACTCTCCTTTATTTTGCTTTTTAATCCTTCTAAATTTATTATTTATCCCAAATTATTTTGCACAATTTAGTCCTTCATTCCGTGAATTTTTAATAGAGGAGGGTGGTACAGATCTTGAGAAGCTACTTACAAGAGAGGATCTTGGTGTAAAAGGAAGTTATGGAGGAGGAAATCATAAAGCTGGGGAGAAGACAAAGTAAATAGGGGCAATTAGCCTTTTTCATAATTTTGAATTCGAATATTTCTAGAAGACTACCTGTAATCTTAGTTCACGTTATAACCGATAGTGCTGCCGGTATGGAACCAATTCGAAAATATTTTAAGGTTTTATTGACATTATACTTCATAAATAATGTTTAAAATAAGAATAAAGATTATGGTGAGCAAGAGATTTTTGCTACTACATATGGTGATGCCGGAAAAACACCATTTTTTGGTGTTAGGATACGATGTCAATTCGTAAAAATGGTTGGATTTAAATCTTGTTATTTCAAATCTTGATACATTTAGAACATAAGCGGCTGATATTATCATAAAGATAATTTATGTCAAATATCCATTTAAACGTTGAGGTCATGACCTCATGGATCAGAATTACTATGTCAAGCCGTAATTATCAGAGCCATAATTAAGTCTATCAATTAGAAATTTAACTTTGAATGAATTTTTTACAATTAAAACTCGAACAAGTGAACGATCAGACAAGTTTTTAGATGTATGTCATCTAGCTTGATAACCGAAATAATAAAATGTGGTATAAGTATATACTAGTGTTGGTCAAACGCGATTTTTCGGTATCGGTATCGGTATTTTCGGTAAAATACCGATACCGAAAAATAGCGATTTTTTAAAAATTGTTCGGTACCGTATTCGGTATCGGTATTTCGGTAAAAATACCGCGGTATTACCGAAAAATACCGCCGTAATACGGTACCGTGACCAACACTAGTATATACTACCTATATTTAAATATTAAGAAGCTGGAAAAATTAAAATCATTTCTTAATTGTATTTGTTAAGAAAGCTCGATCATAAACTACTGTATTTAGATTCGCCTCTTGATCCAAACTGTATCTAAATTTACTTCAAACAAAGTTAATATTGACTCCTTCTCCTTGGGAACTGTAATATCAAGAAAAGTGAGTGTGGACATAAATACTCTTAAAATAAAAATTAAATCAACTTTTAGGCAATATTAGGAGGTAAATGTGTTGATACAAAGGAAGATCTTGGCCCACCATTAACTGATTTGGTACACACATATGTTGGAGTTGCAGGGCCCCATTGGGGAGCAATTCTGTGCTTTGTACCCATCGGACCTTGTAATTTTAATAATGGAGTTAATTGTTTGTCGAAATTTTTGAGAGACATTAATATAAGGTGAGATTTTTACATTTGATTTTATTTTAATTTTTATTAAAGACAAAGATACGAGGGTACTTTTATTTACTCAATATGTTCGACTGATGATGAAGTTGTTGGATTTAGTGTATGTAGTCGCATAACCTGTATGATCGCAGGCGAAAATGCTCATTTCCCGGTAAAATAAAAATTAAACCTTGCTATAATTTTCGAGAAAGGGATAAATTATTTAAAAGTGAAGTTTAGCATGAGATAATTCTGCAAGATATAGAATATAATTTTTATATTAAAATTAAAGGTAATTGGTATGAAACATCTTGAAGTAATCTCCAATACAATTAACTGGCAATATGATCTAATCACCTTTCAAAAAATTGAAGGCTACGATTAATAATAAAATAAAAATTTATTTAAAGTAAAATAAAATTTAAATTAATTTAAAATTGTTGTACTATTTAAAATATGTAAATAAAAATTCTATTCGTATTTTATTATGATTACTTATTTATTATTAAAAGTTTGTTAAAAAATAATAAAAATAATTTTTAAAAATTATCTCGAAATAAGAGATGAAAAAGTTCGAATATTTTCCAAAAAGTCCGAATCTTCAGATCAGACTTTTTTCTTTTTACTGCCGAAAATAATTTTAACATTAAGTGTATATTTGAAAGCAAACGCAAAGCAAAAATCGCTAGTCTTAATATTTATTTTAAAATAAATTTTCTGTCCCGAATATATTTAATATTTAGTCTTTGTTAGATTTATGTATATATAGAGAAGAAATAAGTAGAAGAAAAGTATAAGTTTTTTCTCTGTTAACAAAAGCTTTTTACTATTCATTCGAGAGTGTTAAAATAAAATAAAAATATTATTTGATAAACATCATATTTGTTATAAATAAAAGTAAATAATTATTTTTAAAATAAGAAAGTGTGGTACGGAACTTAAGAAGAAGGTTAAATTTCATTTCAACTCAAATGTTATTAGTTATATTTGGTAATTATTGTTTATTTTTACACGGATATATTAAATATTTTTTAGAAATTGAGGGAAACTTACACTGCATTCCAAAATGATACACACTCCCAGTTTTTTCAAGTTTTATTCCCTTAATTTTTAAAAATATTTAGAAACATTTCTTATTTCAAATAGTATTTGAAATTTATTAAAAAGATTTTCAATTAACAAATTTAGTATTCATATTTGAAATATGTATGTGAAAAAATATCAGCACTAAGATATTTTAACACCTTCCTACCTCTTGTAGGGCAATCAATTTAAATTTAAACTTCTAAATTCTAACTTAACTTTCCAAATCTTTTAAACTTCAAATTTCCAAATTTATTTTATTTATTTTCAAAGAAAGAGAAAATTTTATTAATTTTTAGAAAAGCAAGAAACTTAAAAAAAGAGAGTGAAAAAAGTGAAAAGACTGAACATTTTCTTTAAAATTCTTTTCTTTTATTTGGCTAAATGATTCATCATTTTTAAATTTATATTTTATATATTCTTTATTTTTAAATTCTCGTCATCTTTGATGACACTGCGCCTCAAGAAAAAGTAGACCCATCACTATGGTTAACAAGAAGTCGTGCAAGAGCCCAAAGTAGTTGGGCTACTAATTCGTTGTTACTACGATTGCCCAAATTACGTAGTTCTATTGCTGTGCCTTGTAAAGAATTAGCATTTCGATTTGTTGAATTTCGGTTAGTATGTGGTGATGGTGGAATTGCTGCAGTATTTACTTGTTGAGAGCAATTTTTGGCTAAATGGCCAATATTTAAACAATTGAAGCAGCGGCGGCGATTCCTTATTACGCCTCCGGCGTTTCTTCTTAAATCTTGTCTAATATTATGTTGTTGTATTGAAGGTTGTGGTGCATTAAATTGAGCTTGATATATTTGCTGTGATGTTGATTGATTTTGATAATTTGGAATTTGTTGATAAATGTGTGGTTGGATCATATTTTGTTGTGTCGTTAGCAGATTAGAATTATTAGAAGCAACAGAATTAAATAAAGGATTTGAAGAAGTAGATGGTTTTTTAATTAAATCTTGAACAATTGCTTCAATTTGAGAACGCATTTGCTCTTCGGACAAGGTTGCACTTACTAAACCTTGATTTACATTATTTGTTCCGCTTAATAAAATGGAACCTGCTTTAGCACTCTCACGTTCTTCATTATCATTATCTATGTATTTGTCCCAAATTTCAGATTCATCTAATGGTCCATCTTTTTCCGGTATTGCTTTAACTACTCCAATAATAAGTAAAAACATGAGCATTCCAATACCAGTCATTTTGAAACGTAAATTGAATTTCACTTCTATATTAGCAACTTCACGACCATGCACATCAAAATGCTTTTCTGGTCGTACAACAGCTCGTGCATTGGCTTTCTTTCCCTTAAAATATTCAAATTTTAATTCCTCAATTATTCCCTCAGGTATTTCCAAATCAGCAACGATTCCTTTTACCGTGCCACTTTCTTCGCCCGGTGCCTCGGCCTGGACTTCAAACCATGGTAATTCTTCTACGACCCTCGGGTAATAATTGTCCTCTTCTTCAGCTTTATTTTCCTCAATAAAAATACTAGAGTAGGGAAAGAATTCACTTGTTTCCCGAACGTTATCTTCGCGGAGGATTCCCGGACCTACTATTGTGTCCCCATCCTCATCCTCCGTTAGATAGTCTTTTAATTCTTCAAAAGTCTGGGTACAACTTCCAGACCACCAAGACTTTTTCATACCTGAGGGGACCACGGCCTCCTCAGGTTTATCACAAACTATTGCCCAATTCTTTTGGATGGTTACGAAAAGCCAATTACTAATCTCAAGTGGGCCGTTACTCCAGGCTTTTATCCACCCTCCATTAATTTCTACCTCGATTAAAGCTCGCTCTAGGCGTTTACGGTCAAATGGAGAAGAATGAAGACGCCAAATTGCTAATTCTTCTCTACAATCAAATAGATTAGAAGCGAATTTAGCTAAGGAAATTATAGTCATTTTTGGGAAATATTTTTGTTTAAAATTATTTGAGAATGAGCTTCTTCTCATTTTTTTGTTTATTATAAAGAAATTTTGGCTATCAATTTGAATCATTATTTCCCTTATTTCCCTCCTACTTTCTATTTTCGAGAGAAGTCGGTCATATCTTTTTGCCAAAAGGCGGTGTTCATTTCTTTCCGCCATTGTATAATGCGGCCCTCCCGCCAAAGAAATGATTAATAATATTGTAACAATCAATCTATATGCTTTGAAGAAAGGACTATACTTTAAAAATAATTTTATAGCGATAAAGATCAAGAGTAGTACTATAAGACATATGCCAATAATTTTGAGATTTAATAACTCCCATAAAATTCCGTTCATATCGAGGAGTTGGATATTAGAAATATCAAATATACTATCTTTTTCTAAAATTTTTACATCTCCATTTTTTATAATTAATTTATTCTTTTCTGGAAGAATAAATTCAAGTGTACCAATGAGTGTAAAATTAGTTGTGCCTGCCGGGCATTCTACGTTACAATTCTCATTAATTAGTGCTTTATTAAACGACAAGGCTACAGTTTGATTTATGCCTTTAGCTGAGCATTTTCCTGTGAAAACATTACCACTCTCACATTTAATCTCGGCTAAAGGATTGCCAAAATCTGATTTACAGGTAAATTTAAATGCGGCGCCCAAACAGTTATAACAACCCATTAACTTAATTGGTGTTATATGACAAATAGAAATATCCATATTTGCTGCGATACTCCAATTTTCCATTCGAAGCATAAGCTGAACTGGAAGATAACTTGATTCACTAAAGATTTTTCTTCCGTTATTTCTGAGTTTTATTCTTTTAATATCGAGGGGAAGTGCTCTTTTAGGATCTTTCATTATTTCTTCTAGTGATAAATCATTGCACGCACAATCTATTCTTTCGTCCTCGTGATTTAGCCAACATTCGCCACAGGCATTTGAATTTAGTACACACGAAGAAAAATTGTTTGCGTTAATTCCACATTCAAGTGCGGTTTCAAAATTTTCGGTTAGTGCAACACTGTCATCACTTACTAAGAATTTATTATTTAAAATTGGTGCCATTGGGGCAATTAAATCAACAAGTGTAAATTTTATATTTTTCCAATGGAATGTCATTCCCGGAAATAAAGAAAATTTATTTTTTGTCAGATTTCCATTAATAATAAGGCCAACGTCTAAATCAATAAGATAATCCCATGTCGGACATGATACTAATTCAAATATTTTATCTGACTTTTTAATCGCATATACTTGATAAAAATAACAAGCAGATCCGGGTAATCCACATTGATAGGACCAAAGAGACTGCCCTTCTATACAATATGCATTTCCAGGATTATTTGACCATTCATTTAATTCGGGTACTTTCTCTTTTCTTCTTATATGTATGCAACGACCCGCTTTACAGCTTCCGTCAGCCGGGCAACGTTTTACCGATCCTATCTTTATTTCATATGAACGCAGATGTTTTATAGTTTTTTGATTACATTGAATTGATAAACCGGGCATTGAAAATTCTAATTCTCCCATAAGCATTCCCTTTTCATTCTTAATCGATAATGAAATAACTTGACCGTCAGGAAGCATTGTTAATGTATTAACAGTATTTATCTTACAAGAATAACTACCAGCTTTCCTCTGACAGTCTTCTGATTTAGCTTGTATCGAAACTACTTCTATCTCACATATAATTGAACTAATGAGTTCGAGAATTATTAATCCAATTATTCCAAGTTTGTGTAAAATCCAATTATTCCAAGTTTGTGTTCTTTTTATTTTCTTACCATTCCTTGCACCTGTTTTTGATTTACTAATTAAATTTTTACTCGATTCATGTACTTTAGTCTCTCCTTTTCTTTTGAAAACTCTAAATATTGTTTTTATTATTTTCCAAATAGAATGTGTCAACCATCCAAATATAACGAATAATTTACACAAAAACATTAATAATCCAACTGAAATACTCAAAATAATTCCAGTAAATGTACCAATTAATATTAAAGTTTCAAAAGATTCACATTGAGGATTTGTAATTCTTTCAAAAAGTCCCTCAACTCTTTTACATGGATCAACTGGTGGACAAGTTATTCGGTCTCTATATTTCCTCCATCTATCCCAAAATGTCACTTGGCATTTATATTCTAGTGGGGTAACA